CCCCTAAAAACCGCTGCCCCACTGTCCCATCGAACTGGGGAAAGCGTAGGCGAGGTGACCAACAGTTCAACTTGGATCTGAACACATATCTAGTAGTAAGGTGAATCCGAGTGAACCAATTCGCCTGTAAACAGCACGAGCGCAGCAACATTCAGGGTACGTTGTCGAGCCGACAAGCCTCCTCAAAAATGTCTCGAATGATCCGTACCGTCATCCCTCTTGATGGCCTTGCACGCTTATCACCACTGCATTTTTAACGCTGAAATCACGTAAATTTGACCGCAGCACCACCGCTACGGGATATTTTCCTGCGGTTCAGCGAAGCCAAGCGTCGTACACAGATCATTTAACCTCTCTAAAATCCGTCACAAAAACACAAGCATTAGACTTATCATCCCTCGCTTGGAGTTACCTGGATTTGAAGCCGAAATCCCGCATTTTGCGAAAATCGGCTTGTATAAGAGTCGCGGTTACTAAAAAGTACAGTCCAAGTGATATTTGATACAGCAAGGCTAAGTTTTACAAGCCGAGATCGAATTTAATTGGTTGTCCTGTGCTGCTGTAGAAATTTTATGCAAACGGCGCGAACGATACCAATTCTTCGAAACTTTACATTTCATCCAGAAATTTAAAATGTGAAATGGAGGATATGCCCGGTATACGAGTAATGATTATGAGACTGAAGGTTCAAAGCACCAAGAGGCATTTAACTCCTAAAATCAAAGCATAAAATGTGGGAACAAATGGTCACTCTGAAAGCCTTTGCGGTCGATCGCGGTTAGAGCAGTGCGAGCAAACTTATGAATATTTTATTCATTTTTAGACATAACTCAAACAGCAACGATAACTATGCAACACTATCAGAAAACATATTTTTAACGCGAGTCCACAAAAAGCCTTTACAGCAAAAACACGCTCATGTTAGCTGCAAACATGGCTGCCCCAACATTCGGAAGATGGGCAAACGAGAAACTTGGAACTTTGAAAACTTGCTTTAGAGTTGTAAAGACCCACAGGATTCGAATCAACTTTCAAACCTTTCCATTCTCCTGACAATGAACTAAAGCTGCAAAGTCGAAATTTTATGGACTCTGCATGTAGTAAGACATGAAACGAATAACTGAAATCAACAAATGGACGGGCCTCAGCATCCCCCCCCCCTGCAGCTTCCTGTTCAACCCCGGGATAATGCTATAATTTAAGGACAAGAAAAAAAAAAAAAAAACTACAAACGCCAAATGCCGAGGGTCTATTTCACAGAACAATACGAGAGGAACAATTGGAATGAGCACGACATCACGTTCAAATTTTGCGTGATAAAGAGGACTGCCAATCCACGCACTGATTTACCGTACGAGGTAGGAAGGCAGTGGTTGAAGTCAGTTTTCAAGTCCGCTCGCCTCCTAGGATTAGGAGATCAGGCTTGTACTGTGATGCAAGCTTCCAGCTCGAAATGCTGGCTGCTGGCAAGCCCAATTCGGGCTGAAGACCAGCTGGATGTGCAAGTGTTACCCGTTGCGCTCCACCAACCAGTCTCAAAAAAATGCACGACTGCGCCGGTTCTCTGCTGTGCTGTTATTTCTATGGACAGTGTTGTTTAATCTTTTTTTTTGCCCAGTGAAGCAGTAGGGTACTCCCAGATGAACTCTTCTCCCGCCCCGCCTTCCTGTGGTTCGCGAAAATGAGCTGGGGAGATGGAGAGAGGGGGCAGCGGGAGCAAGCAGGGGAGGAGGCGAGAACCATCAGCATGGGAGAAAGAATGCGATGAATCGAAATCACTTTTTCGAGCTGCCGCAAACAAATGCACCATAGAGCTGACGGCATAAAACTCAACCACGAGCTGGCATGCAAAATTTTACAACGAAATGGAGGATTCGGTGCGAGCGAGAGCTGAATCCAAGTACTCTGACAGAAGCGCAAATGACTAAGCAGTGAACTGCTCAACTCATTTTCAACGTCACTTGGCGGCCTCGAATGCTCGCGCAGCACACTCTGTGCACGCGACAGCAGAACAGTGGATGGCGCTGCAATAACACCACGAAACAGCACTGTCGCACACAACTTATCACTGACAGCTAACGATCAGGAGGGAGCAGGTCACGCCCGATACGATGCCACCGAGAAGCCAAAAAACCGGGGAAATGCTATACGTTGGTAATACTTAGTGTGGCGGGCAGAAGCCTCTCTACCTGTGTGATCTCCTCGAATCTGGTGCTTTCATCGTCCAGTACATTCATATAGGTGTGGTTGCGTGGCACTAACGTTGGCTCATCCGGAGAGCCATTACTGGATTGGCTCGATACAACTGGAGAAAGTGAAAACGCCGAGTCGGAGCCGCGCTGAATGGGAGCCAAAATTCGAGCCTCTTTATTCACGTTTCGCCGCCGCCGTCGTTTCCGACAGCCTTCGTCGCCAGGATCCACATAATCTGAGAAATACGGAAGAAATCCTGGCGCGTTCACCGCTTCGTTATAACGGCAAGACATACTGGAAGGTATAGAAGGATTGTTTTCCCCAAACAGCTCCGTCTTTCTCCTGCGACTTCGACAGAACTCGTGGGTCATACAAAGCCTGCAAAATGCAGTAGACTTACTGTTGCAATACTTACTTCTTTTATGCTCCAAATGTTGAAGTGGAAGACCCCTGGCGAACGAGGGTGGGTCACAATCCACGATGCAGTGAAGTAGTTAGTCTATAACTAAAATTCGTGAGTTTCCAAATCTGAGGCAAGCTATAACCATACCAAGAAAATATGAGTACAAAGGTATACTAGCCAAACAATCTGCATCCCTCTCCCTTTCCCCCTCCCCCAAACAGTATTGAAATGGACTACGCAACATAAACTTTAGCCAGGTGGGAACAAATCCAACACAACGGGATGGGGCCGGGTCCGGCAGAAGAGCAGCAAATCCGACAGAAGAAAAAGCAAGTCTGAAACAATGAAGCTAAAATGAAAATGCGCCAAAACTTCAAGAAAGTCGCTATTTTTCAGAATATGGCATCAATCTTTTCCAGAGTACATTCGCATCGAACAAAAGATAATTGACCAACGCACGGGCTGCTCGTGTGAAGATGCGTTTTTCGCATAGTTCCCCGCAGTTTTTGTCGCTACCGGCACCGGTTTTTTCGGCAGTTGCTTCTAGCTAAACAAATTAAGAATGGCCGCCAGAACCGTAAAGGAACATCCCCTTAAAATTCCAGCTTTCTAACTTTCCTGGCTCCTGAGTTAGCAACTTACTCGAAAAAACTTTCACAGGCCCACACGTGGGTACCACGCAAGCCCGATGCCTGGGTTTGAGCTCGCTGAGAATTAGGTGAACGGGGAACATCACCTTAAAATTGCAGTCTTCTGGCTTTTCAGGTTCTCGAGTTAGCGACTTACCCGCGAAAAACTTTCACGGACTCGTACGTGGATACCACGCGTGCCCGAGGAATGGTTTGAAGCTCATTAAGACTTACGTAGGCAAGGAACGTCCCTGTAAAATTTCAGCTTTCTAGCTTTTCCGATTCCCGAGTTAGCGGCTTACCCGCAAAAAATTTTCACGGATCTGTACGTTGGTACCACGCGGGCAAGAGCGCCCATTCCGAAGATGGTGGCCCGTACACGCATGTAGATCAATTTCCCCAAGTTCCAGCCCCGGAGCTTTTGTGGGTCTCGAGATGAAAAACCGGTACAGACGGGCAGCGCACACACAGACAATCTCTCGTCAGTATGCGTTTTCTACATTGCATAGCTGTAAAAAACGCATAAAAACTGCAAAAACGCGCACCCCAGAAAGACTAGTCCTACCACTCCGTCATAAACTGTTGTAGAACAAGTGAGAAATCCAGCTGTTGCTGCCAGAGGCAGCTGGATCGTTGCAGCACCCACGACTGCAAAGCTGACTATTTTGCGGAAGTGCGCGAGAAACCAGACTGAGGGCTAACATCCAAGGTAGCTAGTAGCCTGTCCAGGCCCTTCCTCCCCAACCCAAAAAAATACTCAAACTACTTGAAAATTACAGAGAATTGATCCCTAAGCAAAAAAGACGAGGCAGAAATGAGGCGGACTGTGAAGGACTCCCTCCGGTGCTTTGAAGGATTGTCAGAATCAAGCGTATAAGCGCAATAAAAGCGAGGGCGGGAAGAGGAGGAGGGAGGGGGGAGGGGAAGGGGAAAGGAGAAAGAGGCAAACACTTTTGTCCGGGAGATATGTGATGCTAAGTCGGTATAAAAACTTAGACAGCCGGGGTATGTTTTGACTGCTCTTTGGTAGCCTCAACTATGACTCTTTTCTGCAGTTTGAGACCTCAGAAGACGGGACGGCGGGGGAGGGGAGATGAAAACACTGCAGCATCAGAGCAACGCAGAACTCTAGTCTTGCTAACTACTCGGCATACGGACCTCATTGCATGCTAGTACAAAAATTCATCCAACTGCTCCAGAAGAAACTCCACATTTGCAGGCAGAGGAACTCATGAGTGGCGCAAGAAATACGTGGAACTAAAGGATGTAATCAAATTTGGCTTCCACTCGTCTGTAGTCGCTGCTCAACATGCTGAGCAGCGGCAGAAGCAGCAACAGCCTTAGCTGATGCATCACAATTTCATCCTCCTGGACTGTCTAACAGCGTGACACATTTGCAAGCAGAGAGACAAGAAAGCAGACGGGAGAGAGGAGGGGGGAGCATCTCGTAAGTGCGCGTTTTCGCAATTTCATCGACACAGTTAATAGTGGCACGCACCAGAATAGCCGGTGTGATCATGCGATTTGCGCAATTCCGTCCAGCGGATGTTTGCCTACTAAAAATATAACTATTTTACGCTTTCGCATTTGGGAAATTAGTCGATATGCTGTTTAGGCTCTTAAGGTAAGGAACTTCCCACTGATCACGTGCCGGTACATAGAAGCTGAATTTGAAAACATGGATGGGGAACATCCTCCCCATAGGCGGG